TACACGCTATCATGTAATGACTCGGTACTCCCCTGTGTTTTCGCCTGCGAGCACTGCTTACGAGTGGAATAGCATTATATTGTTGAGCACTATGTTGAACGACGTCATGAGGCTTCTGTGGATCTTTGGGTAACGATCGTAAAGTACGTTGAAGCGCTTTTCCTGAGGACTGACGAGTTTTGTATGTTGATGAATGAGGATTATTCGAACTTTTCGCTTTCAGTTTTTCACGATACTTTTTTTGATGCATTTTTTTGACGAAGACGTAGCTTTTCGAGTGATTTGGAATCTAACTTTTTACGTCTTCTATTTTCACGCACTCGATTCTTTTTCTTCATTTCTTCTAATTTCACTTTGCCTTTGGGCAAATTGGCACGATACAGTTTTTGTCGTTCAGCATTCGTTTCAGCCATTTTTATATTGATTAAATTTTTATTATCAGCAACAAAGTCGATATTTACAGAGCGTTGAGAAGATGTTTTCTCAATTCTGAGCATGGCAGAACATTTGACTAAGGCTGATGTTGAAACTGTTATTGAAATTGAAGACGATTATATAGAAAAATTTAGTACCAGCTTTGATTAGTTCTCCGTTTTTAACGGTCTGTCAAGACTGTCAAAGCTGAGACTAAGTGTATTTATTTAGGCAAGAGGTTGCTAGTAAACAACAACCAATGACTATTTTTCAATACTATTGTATTGAAAAGCAAATCTTTTTTGAAGTACTCTTACAATGTCAATATCAATAACAAAATAGGAGAAAAACGTCATCGCGTTACGCATTTATTTTCGACAAAGGTGTTTTCCTCGGACAAAAGTATGTTCATTAGGTAGGCTAAGAAAAGTTAGCTTTGAACGAGAACTATTCATTACGAAAGAAGCCGTGTGGATGAATAAAAATACAATTTTGTAGTTTTCGTAACGCAATGACGCGACAATTGTACCAGTTTTATATAGTCTTATTAAATAAAAGCAAAAGGTATTATAAAATCAATGACTATCAGAAATGACAGTAGCGGACAAAAGTCTCCACCCACCTAGAACTTTCTAGAAGTTCACGAAACGTCGATGGGTCTAGTATATATAAGGAGCACATGTGAGACCCTGATCATGAAAAACGTTCATTCTTTCTGTATTGTTATTTATCGCCACTTCTCATATATGGCTTTATCACTACACAAGCGCTATAAAATTGTATTTTTATCCAAGCATCCATTGGGTCCACAGCTCAATCATACGGATGTGGCAAAAGCAGTTCATTGTAGCACTTCGACGGTAAAATATTGGCTCAATCGATGGAACGAATCCAAAGATTTAGA